TCGCAAGTTTTTGAAAAATGACCCTAGTCTTGCAAGAAGGCAAGAAAAAACGGAAAAAAATGATTATGAAACGCACAATTTTTGTAGTTTTTAATACATATAATATATATATATATATATATATATATATATATATGTATGTATGCCATGTCTCTTGAGACGTGTGTTTCTTCTTACAATGATTCACAGGCCATTTGTTGAAATCTTTTTTTACTCATCATTTCCCATTGCCGCGCCTCCTGTCTTCAAAAGTCAAAATGTAAAATCTATCGCGTAAAACATTATTAATGACAAAATACACTAAAAGAACAAGAATTAAAAAGACAGAAGTTAACAGTTGATTGATTCGTTTACTACGGTTTATCGACCTATTACAGGTTATTTAAAGCCAGAAAATACTTTTTTTTATATTATAAGATTTTTCTTTTTGACGTAATAACGGACAATATTTTGAAAGATGAAGAAGTGTTTTGGAGCAAAAAATGTTTTTCGTTCTATAGAAAGATGCTGAAGATGCCATGGGCCGAACATGTGAGTAACAATGAGGTTTTGGAGAAAATAGAAACAAAACGGAAACTTATATTTAACATCAAGAAGAGGCAGTTGAAACTTTGTGGGCAAGGAATGTGGAAGGAAGGTTTGGAAAATCTGATATTCAAGGGACAAATGGAGAGGAAAAGGGTGAAGAGGAAAGCAGCGCGTAAAATAGTTGATGGGTTTGATCAATTGATGATAGAATAGGGTTTGTGTAAATAACCAAATGACAAAACTTGTTAAAACTGTTTACGAAAGAAACACATTCATGGTAACACAGAAGCAAACAGCAAGTAAGGGGGGGGCGTGAATAGCTGAGTATATATATTACGTAAGTATTGATAAAGGCGTGTGTTTAGACGGATGCATGTGTGAGCAGGTTAGAAGGTATACTCATCAGCAGTCGTTCATAAAATGCCTCATTTTGCGTTCGAATATATTTGCCTACGTTTGCTAGTGAGTGCCTGCATGTGTGTATGTTTGCGCACGCGCGGGCGCATGTGTTTGTGTATGTGTGTGTACCTTCATAACTACATAATTTTCTTAATAGGAGCAAGATAACCAACCAACCAACCTTGATATTAGTAATTAATAAGAAAGTTTCCTTAACCCAAGAAGAAGTGCATATAGTTTAGCTAATTTGCCAGCATTTTCAGGTGGTTATAAGTTCTGGAGTTTTCTATCATGCTTAAGGTAACCAAAAAACAATATCCTTACCGTTTTTACGTCATGTGGGAACAAGGGGTCACTGATACGCAAAGGAGTGCGTCACGTGACGGGAAAGCAGTGGGTGTAGGTATGGCGCCATTGTTCATGAGCACTGCAAGAGCCTTTCGCGCACACATCATTCACAGCTCGAGCAGTGGCGAGGAAATATGTCAATCAGATCGAACTGGTTAATGGCTTTAAGATGTGATTGTCCGTAGCCACATCAAGTCGGCGAATACGTCAAATATTTGGGGATAATGCTGTGAATGAACACATCGACACCATTGGCTCCAGGAGTTCAGATCGCGAGATCTGTCCCTTTATTATAAACGCTGCGGTGGGCTGTCTCTGGTCCTGAATGTGGAGGCCCTGACGGCGGCCATAGAGAAGGACAACATGAAAACCTGTGGTGAGCTTGCCGAATGCTTCCAGCTTTCTGATGAAACACTCAGACTTAACCTGCACCGCATAGGGAAGGCGTACAAGTTGAGCAAGGTGGTACTACACACATTGTCGGCAGCCAACAACGTGTGGCAGCCTGTTTTTCGTTACTTTCTGTGTGCTCGCCATTGACGAAATGTGAATCCTGTATGGCACACCCAAGCCTGCCAGTCATCGGCTCTCACCAAGGGATTCCGTGCCTCAACCTACAGGAACACCTCTACAGCTACGTAACTTTATGCTCTGTATCTGGTGGACTAGTCGACAAGTAGTGCACTATGAGCTGCCACTAACGGACAAATCATCACTGCGGACTCATAATCGTAGCAGTTGAAACGGATGCAAGAGGTGCTGAATAAGGAGACTGCGTTGTTTAACCGCAAGGATGTACTGTTCCTTCATGGCAATACCTGACCTCATTTAGCGCAGGTGACCAGAGATACCATACGGCAACTTGGCTGGGATACACTGTGCCATCCACCTTACACTTCGGACTTTGCGCCAACAGATTATCACTCCCTGTACAACCACCCTTGTGGTAAATCCTTCACAGATGAGGGCGACAAACGACATATATTCGCACAGACTTTGGCATCTCAAGGCAGTGTCTCTCCAGTACAATTACGACTGAATAGTGAATTCTGATCCTCAGTGGGTCCCCGATAATTTCGGCCTTGTGCATCTTAAGCTGCGCTTAGAAAATCATTTTAGGCACCCCGACCTGGTGTAATGGTTAGAAAGCTTATCTTGCTAGACCAATTATGACTGAGTAGCGAGTTCGATCCTCACTGGATGCTCCATAGTGCCACATCTAAGCTGTGCTTAGAAAATCACTATATACACACAGACTTCTTTGCGTCAAAGAAACCTGATTTTTACCGTCCGGGCACTGCGCAGGTTAGCAAAATTTTCTGTAAGCCGATAGCGATTACTTTGGGGACTAACGGTATGGCATATTTGCTATCTACTTTTTTTTCTAATAAATCACAAACGGGGAGTACTTTTTCTTAAGCGATTTCACCCAAAGCAAGATATTAAAGCCTCTAAGACGCAAGAGTTAGAAATGAAAAAATTTACTAAGGAGCAAGGACAAAAGAAGAGCAGTTAGGATAACAGTAGATAGCGATTGACATTGCATTTAAATTTTTGAAGATTAAAGGTGGCTGGAAGCATGGAGCCGGAAGAGAGTTCCAAAAACAAAAAGGGTGAGAAAAGAAACTGTTAGCATAGAACTTATAGCTAAATCTAGCTAACTCAACTGTAACTTGGTGAGATCTTGACGCCAGTCTAGTAATGTGTTTCAGTAAAAAAAAAAAAGTCTGGGTACCATGAATGAATAGCGGCTCGGATTGAGGAATCGGAGAGCCGAGTTCGAATCCCAGTCGAATCCATTACATTCACTTACGTGCTAATACCCTTGGGAAAGGTGTGAATCCTCTTCTTCTCCTCCCAGCTATAGGTAAAATAGTAGGCCAAAGCAGGTTCTATAGACTTGGAGCGCAGGTTCTATAGACTTGGAGCGGAAACAATCTGCCTCGTCAGTCATATCTCGAAAGATACATGATCGCCTAAGCGTGCATCACGCATGGCACGTAATTGACTGATATTCACTTACTAGCAAATACTCTTGGGAAAGGTATGAATCCTCTTCTTCTCCCCCAAGCTATGGGTAAATAGCAGGACCGACCGGATTCTATAGCCTTGGATGACAACTGGTCTGCTGCAGAAAGAAATGGCAACCTACTTCGGGAAAAAAATCTGCCTCGTCAGTCATGTATCGAAAGATACATGATCGCCTAAGCGCGTATTACGCATGGCATTTAACTGACTGACCATGTACCATATGGGGTCTTTTTACGAAGCGATGGGCATCATCACTTACGGCATTTCAAGAGCATGCAACACCTTATACTCAGTTACGTGCTACTGACAACAGAAAGAAGCCGTTTCATGTCTTTTGCCATAGTCACTAGCACAAGTTAAGCACGAATTTACATCGGCGAGAATGTTTTTTTTTTTGTTCACGGATTCCACTGCTACTTTCAAATAGAAAAACTGAAACAATTAGAATTAATATATATATATATATGTGTGTGTGTGTGTGTGTGTGTGTGTGTGTATATTCAAGCATGTTTGGTGAAATAAGTTACATGTATTATGTCTATTTATCTTAGTTTTAATCCTTTCAAGTCCACGAATTAATTTTTTGGTGGCTGTAGAAAATTGATCCAGAAAAATTCCAAAATTTTCTTTCAAATAACTTTTTATTTCCCAAGTACTTTAAAGTGTTTCCTTAAATGTTCTGTGATTGAACTATGATTGTTCAAGTGAAAGGTAAGCTTTCTGGTTATCGTCGTTGTCGTAAAGCCAACATACGTATTAGCATTTTTAAAGGAACAGTCATGTCCACATTCCCAGTTTAGACAGATATTGGTCGAACATACATGAGTGCTCGACTAAGTCGCCATGGGTTACTGAATGTAGGATAATATAAGGAAATAAAACAGTACTAAAGCGAGATGACAGTAAAAGAAGACAGCGGACAATGATTGATATTGCATTTAAACTTTCGAAGATGCAAATTGACTAAAAAGCAAGAAAAATTTGCTAAAAACAATCGTCATGGATTGACAATTGCGTTTAGCATGAAACAAACTGCCGCCTCTGGGTGTAGATTTGAACTGAATGTCCACTCATGTGTGTGTGTATATATATATATATATATATAAGGAGAGAGAGAGAGAGAGAGAGAGAGAGAGAGAGAGAGAGAGAGAGAGAGAGAGATGGATGGATTAAGGTATACAGATAGCCCCATAATATAATGTATAATTTTTATAGACATATTTTGCAGACAGTGACACATTCTCAAGAAAGATAAAATATAAATTTATCGCATAAAACCTTCCTGAAAAATGTACCTCACGAAAGTCAGGAATAACACTGGCATAAACGATTTAAAAAATGTTAAACTCAGAAGCAAATAGCAGACAAGAGGGGGTGCCTAACTGAGTATATATTGCGTAAGGAATTATCAATGCATGTGTTTATATGGATGCATGCTTGAGCGGCCGGGAAAGTATGTATTTCCATACACGTTCAACGTTTATAAAATGCAAGTTTTGCATGTGAATAAATCTGTATGTCTGTATGTGGAGGGTGGCGGGGGTTCCGCTCACGGTGATGTAAAAATGCTTATCCAGGACCGCTCATGTGAGAGCGTCCATACGCATGCGCGTCTTCAAATCGTGAACCTCAATTCCGGTTCGTCTTTAAACTCCTCCCTTTTTCCCCACTCCCTCTTTTCCCCCACTGCCCCTTCTCCCCAACTCCCTCTTTTCCCCCACTCCTCCTTTTACAATTCTTTCTTTCTTTCTTTTTCCAGTTTTATTTTAATTTTTCTCTTTTCAATTATATTCCTTTTTATTTTCTCAGTTCTTACGAATCTTCAGCATTTTGTCTTCTTTTTCTTCTTTTACTTTTTTTTTTTTACTTGTTCTTTATTGCGTCTCTTTATTTTTTCTTCTTTTCTTCTTCTTACCTTTTTTCTTTTTCTTTTTTCCAACCTTCTTCTTCTCCTTCTTCTTCTTAAAAATATTTTCTTTTTTTTCGGAATTTATTTTTCGTTGTCTTATTTAGTTGTTCCGTTTCAATTTTCTTGTTGAATTTTTCTCTATTTTTTCCTTCCATTTTTCGTTGTTTTTTCACCCTTCCTTTTTATTTATTTATTTTTTTTTTACTTCATTTTTTTTTTCTTCGTCAGGAATATTGTTTAGTTCATTTTCTTCTTCCTGTGGTTATTTTCTACACTTCCACACTTTAATTTTTCTTTCTTTCTTTCTTTCTTTCTTTCTTTCTTTCTTTCTTATATTACGAGCCGTTTCGCCCTTTCTATTTATCGTTTTCCTTTTACTGTCTTCTTGCTTTTCAATTCCTTCTTTCTTTCCTTTTCTCTGTTTTCTTTCTTTTACGATTTAATTTAAAAAATTTTTCTTCACTTTGTTTATTTTTCGCTTTTTTGCGCCTTTTTCAATTCTTCTTCTTCTTCTTCTTCTTCTTCTTTCAATCCTCTTCTTCTTCTTCTTCTTCTTCCAATCCTCTTCTTTTTCTTCTTTTCTTCCACTTCTTGACTCTTTTGGATTAGCTGATTCTTTGAGTCATTCGTAGAAATTCCGAGACCATTGATTCATTAACTCCAGAACCTATCCCCCCACTCCTGTGCCATCCTCCTACAAACGAAAAAAATGTTACAAAATCCTGTTTAGCTTCCAATTTTCTACAGAAACGTTTTCCACTTTTAAATAAAATTCTAATCTTAAGGACAGTCGTAACAGTTCCAGTTGTCACCATGACAACAAAAACGTAACCTGAGCCGTAAACTAGCGTCCATTTTGGCTAGTGACGAAAATTTCTTTCATCTTATTCTCTTTCATTTTAGGATCGGTAAAGAAAACAATCAACTTACGTGGCTAATTTAAATGACGATTACTGGCGCTGTCACGGTAAGATAAACTCTCGATGATGAGGTACACGAGTTTAAATATTGCTTGAGGCTGTTTCTTTATTTTAGAATCCTACTGAACGGTTTGAGAATGTAAAAACGAGCTCTGCGGGGCTATGAACCCCCCCCCCCATCTTAAAAAACAAAAGAAGTGGAAAGAATTGAACATTAAGAGTAATGACAATACTTTATCAAAAAAAAAAAAAAAATCGGGCAATTTGAAACTGTTTTCTACGGGCAAACAAACAACATTATTAAGATGGACGATGAAGATTGTCAGAAAGTAATAATAATAATAATGCTTCAGTTAAGATATCCACGTATTTTCAGACTATTATGTCTACTGTTTGAAAGTATCAGTAGAAATAAGATTAAAAAAAATTTCATCCAATACAAAGCCCAAGAGCCACTCATAGTAGACGATTACCGTGTGAAGTTGTATTAGCGTAAGAAATGCCAAGAAGTGAAATTATTGAGCCTATGCAGGAAACATAACACCTAACTCGAAACATGAAGAGGTTAAAATTTAATTAATAAAATTTTAAGAGTTCCGGCGCAGACGTTAGGAGTAAAGAGCTGAAGTAGACTTTAGAAAGAACCGGAAACCCAATCCTAAACCGGAAACAAGGGATAAACCTCTACTCCTGTTCAAAAGACCGGAGAGGTGTGTGAACCGGACGATAGACGAACCTATCTACTACTTAAGCTTATCTGCCTTCATCTTGCTTGTATCACAGATTAAACGAACGTGGCTAGGTAAAAAATTGCAGTCTAGACTGCATTAATCGCCGGAATTACTATAGATAAAAATGAAATCTGAAATTTGAACCCTCTATGTAGCCAACGGATTTATTATCCACGGACATAGTCGTAACAACTTAAGATATACGAATTACACTTTACAGATCACCATCTCATAATGGAAACTGGAAGTCTAGTGGAATATCTAGTTGAGGAAAGCAAGAAGAAAGGGCTAACTATTAACTGTAAGAAGGAAACTCAAAGAAGAAAGCAAGAAGAAAGGGTTAATTTCTAAATGTAAGAAGCAAACAGTAAGAGACAAGCAGAAAGAAAAGACTAGCTATTAACTGTAAGAAGGAAAGTGTAGGAAGGAGGTAAGAAAAAAGTGTTGACTATTACCTGTATGTAAGAAGGTAGAAAGCATTATTTCAGCAAAATGCAAACCCCACGCATATATTGAGAACATTAAAATCTAGCCCGCCCTGGGTAAGACGATAAACTACATCCGACAGCAAGGCCTCTGATCAGGAGGTTTTGAGGAGCGTGGAACCACATCTTAATTGCTGGTGTTGCCAGATCCACCCTGGCCCGGGTGATAGCACCTGTTAGGGTTCCAGGTATAGTCAAATAGTTAACCTCCAAACTACTTGAGTCTTACAGGCATAAAATCAAGGACTTGGCCTCGGGCGTCACCAAACTTCTGCATGTCACTCACTCAAACACATGTACCCACATTTAATTAGCGTTTTTAGAAAGAAACATGTATTTACAAGTCGATGTGTGTATATGTGTGTATGTGTATTCCAAGGGATTTGTATTTTAGTTTTTTGTATTATAGCCTATTGTTGTTTATAAGGATTTTCCTCCGATTATGTCAAATTTTTAAGCCAAAATATAAATTTGATATTTGTCAAGAAAATTAACTTTTCGTTAGTTATTCATTCATTTTTTTTCTTAATTCTTTTGCCCGATAGTCATCGTTGATTAAAAACTCTTTTTTTTAAAAATTCATACCAGCGAGAGATTAATATAGACAGAAATGATGAAATTTTAAGGTTCGACGATTGTTGTCGGCTTAGTTTGACTGTATTTGTATTTTCGATTGACGAGTTTCTTAAAATAAATTCATTTAGAAAGTAAAATAACTCCAAAAGGAAAAATACGCTTGAAAAAAAAAAAACTTTCCCAAACAATTATCGCTCATTAATATCGGCAGAATTCGAATATGTTTCAGTGCGCATGTCGCTTTTGCTTGCATACAAACCAAATTTTAGTCATACTGAAAAACGTTCTTTGACTAGGTAATTCAAATAAAATCACAAATGCAGAATAAGAAAAGTGTAATCATTTAAAGAATGTTGATCAAGTCGTCAAAGAAACACACATCGATTTTCGTTCCGTTTAGGGAGGAAAATCGGATGAAAGAATTTCCGGGTAAAATAAAAAAAAATTAATATTCTGTCTTCCTTTTATCGAAATCCGCCATTTTGTTTTGTTCAGTTTGCAACTGATTCGTTCAGTTTGTTGTTTATTCACTTAAATTTTCCATTGGAAATCCCAAACGTCGGCTACTGCTCTCGCTTCAAAACCGGAAGTATTTGAATTAAAATATATCGAAGAACGTCACTCTTTGATATTAAATCCTGCTTGTTTTTCTTGTTATTCATTCTGATTTTCATTATATCATGCAATATTTTACAACCGCATTATCTGGTGAAGACGGAATGCATGGCTGTCATCAAGAGGAACAGCCTCAAAATGCTTGAATCACATTGGAGATATCAACATGAAGCAAATACAGAATTTTAACTATTTGGGAAGTGTTCAAGCAGACGACGAAAAAATATGACACCGAAATCCGAAGATTCGTTGGAAAGATGTCTTCCAAAAGTTTTAACAAATATAAGGAAACAGGAAAATTTTCGTCAGAAACAAAGGAAAGAGTGCTGAAATTTCATGTAATATCAGTTCTTCTTTATGGCAGGGAATACAGGATAATCTCCTCGCAGATGAAGCAACGGAGTTCTGGTTCTACAGAAGGCTACTGAGAATATCATGGACTGAGCATGCGAACAACGAGGACACTTTTAAGCAAAATGTAAGCAAAAGGGCACTTAGAAATAAAAAAAAAGAGACAGTCTAAATTCCTGAGACGCATAAATAGAAAAAAGCGCTTCGAGAATTTGACATTCACAAGATTTAAAATTTGACACATAAGATATAAGATAAGATGGATACAAGAAAACAATGGCTCATGTATTTAACTAGCGTGTGTAAATGAATGACAGATCAAGGAATGGGTATTATAGTCCAAAAAAGCAAACACTACGAAAAATTATAAAGGATAGAAATTTATGGAGAGCTAGAATCATCCGCGTTCTGAAAGATAAAAGTGTAGTAACTGTTCTTATATCTAATGCCAATAGTATTAGCCGTTTTCTTATAAGGAAACATTCATTGACCGAGCAGCTAGTGCTACTAACCGCTGAGATTTATAAAATCTTTCTCTTGAAACAATTTTCCAGGAAAATAGCTTTCTCAGGTTCTGAAGTTGTTAATGATTTTTTCAATATTAATGGGATCTTCCTTAAATATCAATCCATCCCTCCCTCCTCCCTCCCTCACCCTCCCTTCCTTCCTTATTCCCCTTCCTTCCTTCCTTCCCACTCCTCCCTCCTCCTCCCTCCCATCCTTCCTTCCCTTCCCTCCCATCCTTCCTTCCCCTCCAACCCCTCCCATTTTCTTCTTCCCTCCCTAACTCCCTCCCTCCCTTCCTTGTTTCCTTCCTTCCTTCCTTCCTTCCTTCCTTCCTACCCCTCCCCTCCCATCCTTCCTTCTTCCTCCTCCCTTGTCTCCTTTTTTTCCCTCCCTTCCTTCCTTCCTTCCTTCCTTCCTTCCTTCCTGTTGGTTTTTGGTTGATTTATTTTCTACGACTTTGAAGTTATTTAAAACCAGAAAATATTTTTAGGCTGTCAGTTTGTTTTTTTGTGACGATTATAATGCTTTAGTGGCCTTACTAGACTTACTATTTAACCCATAGCTGTGTGGGGAAAAAGGTGTATTCATGCCTTTCCCAAGTGTATTTGTGTGTTAGTGAATATAACGAGCCCAATTGGAATTGGAACGCAGCGTTATGTACCCAAGAAATTTCAACCGTCTCTCCCGTTATGTACCCAAGAAATTTCAACCGTCTCTCCCGTTATGTACCCAAGAAATTTATTGGCATTGTCCTTAAAACTTCGTCGTTGCTATATGTTCGGTTCATGTTATTCTCAGCATCTTTCTGTAGAGCCACATTTCTCTTGCTTTAAGTCGGTTTAATACGTGAGTATGGATGTTTATTTAACCGTAAACATATACCGGCAGCAAACCGCCTGCATTCGAAAAAGAAATGAGTTCAGTAAATATGTAAAAATGAAAAGGGGACTAAGACAAGGATATGCCGTCTCACCAGACCTTTTCAACCTATACAGTGACGATACTATTGACGATCACAATCTTAACAAGACAAGCTATGCAGATGACACAAGTTTTGATAGCAGACACAGAACGGAAACTCCACCGAGACAAGGAGCAACCATCAGAAAAATGAAAAACATCAAAATGTAAATATGAATGTTTATTTGACCGTCAACATATAACGGCAGCATTTTGAAGTTGATTGATCCACTTTGAAGTTGATTGATCCATTTTACAGTTGATTAATCCAATTTGAAGTTGATTAATCCATTTTGAG